ACTAGCTACACTAAGTACTAGCTACACTGAAAATATTGATACCTGGGGGATCTGAACGCCGACACGGCCGCATCGCTTCGCACGGACGCGACCGTCTTAAAATTAAGGCGGCGACGACTTTGAAACAATGAAAATAGCATAAATATTTAGCTATAATATGGAAGTTTCGTAAATGGAATACACTAGAAACTATAATTACGCCACGTACTCAGAAACGAGACTGCTCTAAGGAAGACAGCGTCATAAAACTGCAGCTTCAGAAAGAGCACTATTGTTTACAAACACCTCGTAATGATGTAGCCGAGATAAATGTTAATGTCGGTACATGAAAGCGTTTAGTGGTTTACGAGCTTCGAGCACAACTCTTAGAGCTTTATTCTTAGAGCTTTTCTAGTTTTTAAGGGCGTGATAAAGTTTAAAAACTGATTAGCAGCAATTTGAAGGAATCCTCATTATTGCTCAGCAATGATTTGGGTTATGAAGGATCACATTGTGTTGTAAAAATGCAGCCTTTGAAATTATTATCAAGTTTGACTATCGGTAGTAGAGCGTGTAGTAACTCGTTGAACCCGGTAAAGAGTTCGATGTGCAGCCTAACCCAAACATGAGCCCGCTGAGTTTCTCGCCGGATCTTCTCAGCGGGTCGCGATTCCGATCCGGCAGTAGATTCCCTCGCGAAGCCTTGAGTTGTTAGGTCTCTTTTGGCGGCGCTCGGGCAGCTGTTAGGATATACCATCCCATCCTGGCCGAATCTTTGCTCGCCCACACCTGTCCTGGTGAAACTGGAAAGGCCTCCGGGCTACCAGTAATCCTTCATTCTGAATAATAATAATAATAGAGCGTGTAGTAAGCTCGCACCTGCCTAAGTCTGTTGTGAAGGATCGCGTACAGTTAATACGCCTAAGCCTAAATAAGGGTGGACGACTGCATTAATTACTGTTCCAACGGTAGGCGAACTTAAGGCCGCTTAATATCAAGAATTACATAGCCCTTGATCTTATTTTAATTTTTTTTTACAAGGCATACAATACACATCACAAGCTAAAAAGATACATAAAAACACAATTAAAAGGAAACAATATCTGGCTTGCAACATAAGCCATGTGCGCACGCCAAACAAGACAGTGCTGAATTTGTACACAATGCTCCTTACAACTATACGACAAAACAAGACGATAACAAAAACTAATCTAATTTATAACGTAAGTAAATAATTTTATTCACAATTTTATAATAACTGTATATTGTGAATAAAATTATTTTCTTACATTATAAGTCGTCGTGGCCTAAAGGATAAGACGTCCGGTGCATGCGTGTTGAACGATATGCACCGGTGTTCGAATCCCGCAGGCGGGTACCAATTTTTCTAATGAAATACGTTCTTAACAAATGTTCACGATTGACTTCCACGATGAAGGAATAGCATCGTGTAATAAAAATCAAACCCGCAAAATTATAATTTGCGTAAATACTGGTGGTGGGACCTCTGGTGAGTCCGCACGGGTAGGTACCACCTCCCTGCCTATTTCAGCCGTGAAGCAGTAATGCGTTTCGGTTTGAAGGGTGGGGCAGCCGTTGTAACTATACTGAGAGCTTAGAACTTATATCTCAAGGTGGGTGGCGCATTTACGTTGTAGATGTCTATGGGCTCCAGTAACCACTTAACACCAGGTGGGCTGTGAGCTCGTCCACTCATCTAAGCAAAAAATTAGTTTTTTTTTATCGTAATGCTAGAGAATAAATAAGAAAACGTATATAGATCGGCCAATGAATAAACGACCAACATGAGTCTACCAGATAACCGAGAATTAACGTGTTTACAAGCAGTGGTCGCGGTGAACGGCTTTGAATCTACGACGAAAAACCTTCATCGCTTATTGTTTAAGGTCCGTTCATACGCGAGCTAACGCGTTCTGATTTAGTTATTGAATTTTGGTATATCTTTGACCATCCAAGTTATAGTTTAATCTTTAGTATTGTTTTCAAGAAACAAAAGTTGGAGCGTCGATCATTAAAAGCGACAGATGTAAAGGGATTTTAAGATTTTTTTTCTATTCTATAAGCTCACTGCTGGACATAGGCGTCCCCCAAGCCTCACCACAAAGATCAGTCTGGCGCTGCTTGCATCCAACGGTTCCCCGCGAACCTCAATAGGTTGTCTATCCATCTTGTGGGAGGCCTATCTACGCTACGTCTGTCAGTACGCGGTCGCCACTCAAGAACTTTCTGGCCCCAACGACCAGCAATGTGCCCTGCTCACTGGCGTTTCAACGTTATTTTAAGGTTTACAGTTTATTAATTGCTTAGAAGCGTGAATAAGCCCACCTGCGGTTAAAAGGTTATTGGAAACCGTAGACATCATAACATTAATTCCCATACCACCCACCTTGTGACTTGAGGTCTGTATCTCAGCGCATTGTGCAAATTATGCAAATTTTGATTGCACGATGCTATTCCTTCGTCGTGGAAATATTTTTAGAGCTGTACGTATTTTATAAGAAAATTGTCTGCAGGATTTGAACTCCAGCATATTTGCGTCACTCGATATGAGTGTCTACACGAGGCGTTTGATCCTTTAGGTCACGATGACTTCTAAGACGACTTTTTTTTAGCTTTTTGACACTCTTGCCGTGATATTATAAAATTATGAGAACCACTGGTGAATGTGAGCGCGCGTGGGTAGAGCTAACGCTTTGACTTATTTAAAGTTATCGTGGTCACGAACTAATGAAGACTGAATAAAATAATTGTAATAAAAAACGCCAAATCAAACCGTAAGTGTAGTTTAAATATGTATTTAATTAAATCTATCTATCTATATATATATATATATATAAATGAATTGCTGTTCGTTAGTCTCGCTAAAACTCGAGAACGGCTGGACCGATTTGGCTAATTTTGGTCTTGAATTATTTGTGGAAGTCCAGAGGTTTAAAAGGTAGATAAATATGAAAGTGCTAGGAATTAAATAAAAATAACAATTTTGTTTTTCCTTTGATGTGTCCCCCGTCGGACGGATTCCTTTTGTTTGTTTTAAATTTATTTTATACAAAAGCTTAGGTCTTTTATTTATCGATTGAGGCACTACGAAGTCTGCCGCGTCAGCCAGTAATTAATAAAAATACCCGAATCGTTTAGTACTCGTCAAAAAGGTCACACACAGTATATGAACGCACCTTTTGATGTGAGCGTGTAATGTTATTCTAGATTTCAGGTCTCGCTTGTGTTTTATCGGAATATTAATTCAGGCGTTCGATTCTCCGGGTGAGACGGAGGAAAATATTTGTTTTTCGATAAAGTTATTTGTTTGAGATATGTAGAATACAGTTTTTGATTTTTCTGTTGTTATTATATTACAGATGAGTTAATATGTTACAGTTTCGTGGTTATATAACTTTCTGTTCTCATCAGTTAATAATAGTCCGGTGATTTTAGATTAATCAATCTATATATCCAGCTATCGGTAACTGATGTGAACTGTATTTTTTATTGCTTCGTTGGATGGACGAGCTCACAGCTCACTTGGTGTTAAGTTTTTTACTCGAGCCCATAGACATCTACAACGTAAATGCCGCCACACACCTTGAGATATGAGTTCTAACGTCTCAGTATAGTTACAACGGCTGCCCCACCCTTCAAACCGCATTACTGCTTCACGGCAGAAATAGGCAGAGCGGTGGTACCTACTCGCGCGGACTCACAAGAGGTCCTGCCACCAGTAATTACGCAAATTAGAATTTTTACGGGTTTGATTTTTATTGCACGATGTTATTCCTTCACCGTGGAAGTCAATCGTGAACATTTGTTGAGTACGTATTTCATTAGAAAAATTGGTACCCGCCAGCGAGATTCGAACACCGTTGCATCGCTCAACACGAATGCACCGGACGTCTTATCCCTTAGGCCACGACAACTTCACGAATTAATCTATCTATATATCGCGCTATCGTTGCTATCGGTAACTGCCTGACCAACAATCGAATCTAGTAGGCAGCAGCTTGGCTCTGCCCTAGGCATTGCTGTAGTCCATGAGCGACGGTAACCACTCACCATCAGGTGGGCCGTATGATCATCTGCCTACAAGGCCAATAAAAAAAAAGGTATAGCAATTCACTGACTACTTAAAACGCCTACACATTATATTAGGGTATTATTTTAATTGCATATTATTACGAGCGAAGACAGGCAGGCCCAATATCCCGCTCATTACTGCCATAAAGTAATATTAGCTTCCGGCTCAAATTATTCTTATCAATAGACTGACCGTACGAAGCTGATCTGTGAATATTGGTGTTACTCTTTGCACATCCGCCACGAAATATTTGTGAATAAAAAAACTATGCATAACGAAAGAAAAACAGAGAAATATAACAAGATAAATCTGAATATTAATTCTGCCGTGATGCGCAGTAATGCGTATCGGTTTTAAGGGTGGGGCAGCCGTTGTGACTGTGCTAAGACCTTAGAACTTATGTCTCGGGGTGGGTGGCGCATTTACGTTGTAGATGTCTATAGGCTCCAGTAACCACTTAACACCAGGTGGGCTGTGAGCTCGTCCACCCATCTAAGCAATAAAAAAAAAGAATAACTTTCGATCTGCTTCAGTCAAAAATCCCTTTACCGTATTTAGTTTTTTTTGTGTGTTTCTAGCGGCCTCGATAATCTACACTTTAATTTTCAAATAAATTGTACCAATTAATGCTATGTTAATATTATCACATAGATAAATAAACGAATATAACTGATTAAAACCAATGACAATATTAATACTGTCAACCTGTCTACTATGAGAAATACAATTCGTAAATTATTACCTAGTCCAATATACCCATTTGTTATATATACCTACATACAATACCGAAATTTATTCTTAAATTTTAGCGATTGTACGAAAAGCTTTATCGTAATAAAGCCTACCTAACTAAGCCCTCTTTTTAAAAAATCGGTTGAAAGTTCGTGAACATCCCGAGCGTTCCCCGAAGCATCAGAAGGACGCGAGAGGGCGCGTCGCGTACACGTCTTTCGTTACTCTGGTGATAAATATGTGCAACAAAAGTGACAGTGCCTAAGTTTGTGTCAATAAACACGTTTAGTGTCTGATTATATCGGTGAGTTTTACACTAAGTTAAGTCTATACGTTAAGTGTCTTTTAAATTATTATTTTTGTTGACAAAAATTTTTTAAACAATAATCTAAAATGATTGAATTAAAATTAGGTCTGTGTACATTGGAACTAAATTCGGGGTGTTGGGTTTGAAAATTTATAACGATACATGTCAGAAATTATGCTTGTGAATGCGTAATTTCTTTACAGTTCTTTATAGTGACGAATGAAATACTATAACTGGGTGCGTCAAGTGAAGATAGAATTTTAATAGGTCGTTGCGTTAGGAACTATGTATGTGTGTTTTTGTGCAGTTTTGAGTTATGTGTGAAAAAAAATTAGTCCGTTTTATAAAGATTGGGTGGCAATTCATTTGACCAACCAACGCTCCAAGCGTCCATGCTAGCAGTCTCTTTCAATCCCAACCGTATTTTAGATTTTTAATATTAAATTTTACAATATAATCTTGCTACTAACAGTTTATGGAACTTCTATATTCTGAAATCAATATCTATTTATTTTCTCGTTTGAAGCTGGACATGTGAGAAACAGCTTGCAGTATTTAGACGTTGTTGTGGACATATTTTATGTTTAACGTCGCTTCACAACCTGACTTTGCTAATACTAGAGCCCTAGCAAGAGCAGTGCTTCGCAGAAACTACCACCGGATCGGAATCGTGACTTACTGAGAAGATCCGGCGAGAAACTCAGTGGGCTAACCAAATTTTGTACTATAGGTTTTTCAAACGGTTGCGATTACGATTTAGCCCTATATTCTATATTCTAGGGACGTGCTAATTTTTATCGAACCCAAATTATAGACATAAATGTTTAGGTTAAATCAATGCGTCGTTGTATAGTTTTGTTTGTCTTTTTTTAATTTTTTTATTGCTTAGATGGGTGGACGAGCTCACAGCCCACCTGGTGTCAAGTGGTTACTGGAGCCCATAGACGTCCACAACGTAAATGCGCCACCCACCTTGAGATATAAGTTCTAAGGCATCAAGTATAGTTACAACGGCTGCCCCACCCTTCAAACCGAAATGCATTACTGCTTCACGGCAGAAATAGGCAGGGTGGTGGTACCCACCCGCGCGGACTCACAAGAGGTCCTACCACCAGTCTTCGACGTATACGATTTTTTTAAAGGCTTTTTACAGTTATTTTTGGCACTTAGGGAAGATTTCGTAATGATTCCGTAGGTACAAGAAATACTACGGGAGTTATTCCAACGAATCCATGTTTTTATACAATCTGGAATAGTCACGAAGGAGTGTGTACTTGTTTCACGAATTACTGCTAAAAATGGTACTTTGGCGAATTACGTGATTTTTTTTTAATTGCTAACGTCTAGTGTTAAGTGTTTACCGAAGCCAACACAAACACNGGAAGATTTCGTAATGATTCCGTAGGTACAAGAAATACTACGGGAGTTATTCCAACGAATCCATGTTTTTATACAATCTGGAATAGTCACGAAGGAGTGTGTACTTGTTTCACGAATTACTGCTAAAAATGGTACTTTGGCGAATTACGTGATTTTTTTTTAATTGCTAACGTCTAGTGTTAAGTGTTTACCGAAGCCAACACAAACACTAGAGCCGCCATCTTGGGACATTTAGTCTTAGTATCATTGGGATTAGTGATGTTCTGCACTCTTAAACGCTCATGGTACAGATCCAAACACTAAATATTATAACAAAGAAACTGGAGGTGATTCCTTTGGTTGCTTCCAAATACCATTCCCTTTGTTTTATTGTTTTGAAGATAATAAATCATATCGTATGACCCCGTATCTTAATTGACTTATATAACGATAATAGTTGTTTTTCTTAGATAAAATGTTATTTACTCGTGATTTGTACACGCGCTTCTCAACCGAGGGGTCACCGATTCTAAGGGCACTTGAAAATGTTTAAAAAAATATTTTTTGTTTGTTTGGCACAGTGATCATTGGAGATATACGACCGCTTATCTTGAGGTATAAGGCTGACCTCTCAATTGGTACAACGGCTGTTCATAGAAATATTTAATTGGATTGGATGATAACAACTGCTTCGCAGTCGAATAGAATACGTAGGTCAATGATGCCCAAAGAATAATATGGCCATTCTCTTCTTTGAGTCGTTTTTACTTCCGGAAGTCGCGAGCACCATCTCCGAAAATCTCTTATGATGCTACGCCATTCCATCTTTAATCTTGGTAATACCAAGTTTTTTTTTTCATACCACGAATACCATCTGGCGGCTGAAACGTTATTGATATACTATTTTAAGTTTTGGTTTTAATTGTAATGTTCCACAAAACCGCATTTCACGTTACTATGAGTTCAACTAAGTCGCAACTTCAATGACATTATGACCATCAAAATACAAACTTTTACTCGCAGCCTTGCTTGCATTATTAACAAAACTTCTTTTATTTTATTTTTATTGCTTAGATGGGTGGACGAGTTCACAGCCCACCTGGTGTTAAGTGGTTACTGGAGCCCATAGACATCCACAACGCAAATGCGCCACCCACCTTTGAGATATAAGTTCTAAGGTCTCAAGTATACTTGAGTCGTCTATTATCAAAGGTGGCAATCTGTGCATTTGGACAAAAACATTTTATTGATATGTCAATACAGATTGATTTGAATATAATCGTCTTCTTCAAAGAATACGGTTCAAATCCTGCATTAAATAAAGGTTAATAGTTAACCTGTTATTTATCTAAGATGTCGTTCCGAAGAGTTTTGTGACTGCCAATGGAATACAAAGTCAATAATTCGTTTTTCTGATTTACCAATATTGTTCAAAAGTCAGATTGCCGGCTTTGATAATAGACGACTCACTTAGCGAGTATTTTTAGTTTCCTTTTAAGCCATTCACTACTATGCTCTTATCAAACGTCTACTGGCAAATCTACCTACCAGCTACCAGTTGATACAAACGTTTTTTAATAACGAGGAAGTGGTTTTTAGAGTAACGTAAGCGATTTTGATGTCTACAGGAATCGATTTAATAAGATCTTCTGATGTATCTATACTAATATTATAAAGAGGAAAGATTTGTTTGTTTGTTTGTTTCGAATAGACTCCGAAACTACTGGACCGATTTGAAAAATTCTTTTTCCATTAGAAGCCGACATTGTCCCTGATGAACATAGGCTACTTTTTTAAAAAAAATAATTATTTTTTATTTTTTGATTTCATGTGTGTTTTAATGTTTCCGAAGTGAAGCGAGGGCGGGTCGCTAGTCAATTATATTTTTAGATGGATGAGACGGGCTTTGTAAATATAGGTTGTCAGTTGTGACGGTGCTTATGACCGAAATTCAAGGGGAGTTTGGGTCTTACGCAATATATGGAATCGGTTTCCGGTATTCATCTTCAAACGGAGTTGTGAGAGGGTTTAGGTATTAAGCAGCCACCAGCTTTTCATCCAAATACGGCGAACATCTAAAACCAGACAGGTTTTATGACTACAAGTGGTATCCACGTGGTGTTGTCATCTGAAAGGCCCAAAGTCATCACGTATAGTTTAGATTTGCACAAAAATTCAATCAATAGTGATCTATTTAGATGAATTGTAAACTACTCTTCTATCAGACTGGAAATAAAACACAGGTTGCAGTAGTTTAATTAATTTCATATTGTATTCTTCGTAATTTCACTTTTACAAGTTATCATTAAGTCCACTACAAAGTACCCGCTTTCACAAGTTTTCCTCTTGACTTGTTTCTCCGCCATCCCCTTACCTACTGTGTCCATTATTTCCTTGTCCTAACGTGCCTCATCGCCACTACAATTATCGCTCTCACCAGTGTTGCCACATGACAAACCGATAATTNAAAAAAAAAAAAAAAAAAAAAAAAAGCCGTTGTAACTATACTGAGACCTTAGAACTTATATCTCAAGGTGGGTGGCGCAATTACGTTGTAGATGGCTTAGGCTCCAGTAACACCAGGTGGGCTGTGAGCTCGTCCATCAATCTAAGCAATAAAAAAAAATCACAACATACCTTACTTGTAATGCATTTATACCATATAGCCCTACTCACCCGCTTTGCTGGGCATTTAACATTATTATTTATTGTCATTATTATTAGGGAGTCCAACACTCATATAAATATAGCCTATCCATTAAGTACATGTATTTTCTACATGGATACCAAATTTCAAATCAATCGGATGCATGGATCAGTAGTTATAACGGAACATCCGTAAAAACCACTGCAGATTTTTATATTAGTATAGAGTATAGATAATTTGACTTGAAACTATATTAAAATTATAACAGAGATTGTAGAAACGCTTACGAAAAGGAACGGCAAAGCTGTTCACATAATTCAGCATAAAAGTCCGTAGAGATATTTCAAGTGTCGTGTATTGGCAGCTTGCCGAGTTGAGAGTAAGTGGTTATTGCTTCTCCATATTTCATTCGGTTTCCGGGAACGTGTTTTTCATTTGTTTTGCTTGTTGGATCTCGTCACCTGACCTGCGTATATGTTTAAAGGTATTAAGTGATACTAGAGGTCCCGCAGTAGTCGAAATTCGACTATAATTGGAATTGTAAATTTGTATACTATTATGATTGTATTTTATATTTCTATAATCACTAATTTCGCCAAGGCTACACTATAAAAAAAATATTAATAAAGACAAACAATATTTAATCTGTTCTCAATTTGACCACAGACGTCAAGAACAAAAGTTTGACAATAAATAGTATGCATGCGTGTGTGCGTCAAATACATGGTATGTAGTGTGTGTAATGTTTTCTTTATTAATTTAATGTATCTTTTATGCATTATTTTAAAAAAAATATTAGCATTGTGCACTTCTTCTCTATATTCTCTATAAGTGTGGAAAATTTCATGCTCCTCCGTCCGCGCAATTTTCGTAAAAAGGGATACAAAGTTTTTGCTTCACGTATTAATATATAGATTTGCTTTCATTTACATACTATCGGAATGTATAATCGGGACCCCTTTTACCAGTCTTTATTTATTGGGGTAAACAA